CGGTATAAAACGGACAAACTTCGTGTGCGTGTACAGATCAGAAAGCGTGGCGAGTTGCAAGCATGTTATTACTCACTTAGTTCCACACACTGGAGAACTAAACAACACGGAATCACTGTACATCGAATGACATAGGGTAGCGAGAACGTATGATTTTTCTGCTCTAAGAAGCATTGATGCCTTGAAATGCAAGTGCTATTATGAAACAGATCTCCCACGTATTTCGCCAATGCGTAGAAGATCAATATATGACAGAGCTGTTACCAGATCAACGACGGAAATTTTTACTTGAAATATTTGCACATGAAAAATTCCTATTTTGACCGGACTGAGTTTGTTCGACCCTTCTTCAGCGAATTAATGAAATTCACAGATTAATTTACTTTTATAAGTAAAGGCCCAGTAAACATACTAAGCTTATGCAAAAAATCTGTTTCCGCACTTGGCTGACGAAGACCAGAAAACCGGTATATTTAATACAGGAATTTGCTGTGTGCAAATATTTCAGATAAAAGTTTTCCGTCTCTGATCTGGCAACAGCTCTCTAATGTACATTAACTACTGTGGTTGGACAATCGTGCCATGTTCCATTGTAAACCAAGTGAAACTTGGTCCCACCAAAACGAATTTGTCGTGTGTAAACGTTTCAGGTAAAACCTTTCTTTGTCATGTACAATAACAGATTTATGTGAATCGTTAAATAATTCTAGATCTTCGGCCAACGATTGAGCATCGTGGGTTATACGTTTGCATTAGCTAACGACGCATGGCTAAGTCTGTCGCCATCTACGCTTAACAAAGATTGTACAGCGCACCCTGCCAAGTTAGTGATGATCTACCCGTTTAGAACGTGGTCTCAGATTTATGTTTAACATCCATCCATTGTGATGCGGCGGAGGTCACATTCATGACCTCAAACAGTTGCCTTCCTCTTATCTAATATCGTCCTCCAATACGCCCATGGGGAGTAACATACGACCACATGCGTTATGAAACAAGTTAGGAAACGCATTTTTTCCAACAGCTGCTTTATCAAACCAAACAACTTAATAGGTATGTAGAGATGGCTACATATCCATAATTACTGTTCTACAGTACAGCCACGTCCAAAATGAGCCATTATTTCCAATTCCCATAAGTCGCACATAACGTAGAATTATAAGCGCAACCTCGTGATATAAATTGATCATGCAAACGTAAAAATCTGCATTTGCCTCTATTTGAGTACATTTAAGCAGATTCAGATTTTGCTATTTATTGCGCGCCTTATTTCAAGTCAAAAACATACATACACGTGCATTTGACACTGCATACTTTTGCAGTGGCCCATTCGAGCTATGTCCTGGTCATTAAAAAAGCTGCCTCATTAATGCAAGACACGGCGCATCCAGATTCCTATTCCCACGCCTCTACCAGCTGTCTTTAGAATCTGCATTGTTTTTCCGGCAGTCTTTGGCCAGTAGGCAAGTTTCATACGTAAAGTGAGAAAATCTTTAAACATTTTTGGTTTTTCTCTGTAGAAGTAGGTCTCTTCTGTTACAAGTTATGTCAGCTTGTTGATGCATTAAGCCAAGACTGCCTTCTTCTAAAGCTGTATCATATCCACGTGTGAGCTAAG